ATGGGGGGCGTGGGTTCACGGTGAGTCCCCAGATGGGGGGCATGGGTTCACAGTGAGCCCCAGGACCGGGGGTGATGGGTTCACGGTGAGCCCCGGGACCGGGGTGATGGGGTCACGGTGAGCCCCGGGATGGGGGGCATGGGGTCACGGTGAGCCCCCAGATGGGGGGCATGGGTTCACAGTGAGCCCCTGGACAGGCATGGAGAGGAAGATGGAGTCTGGGTGCTGGTCTTTAGGGCTGGGGTCTTTTGGGTGCAGCGCAGTGGGTGCAGGCCTGGGGTTGGTGGTGTGGGGGCATGCTGCATGTCAGGGACACCTTCTGTGGGGACACAGTGTCACAGGGTGGTGGCTTAGTCCTTGGGGACCTGCTCGTCCTGTCACTGGATATGGGTCTCAGCCCTCGGGGACCCATGTGCCATCCTGCCGGAGGAGGGAAGCTCCTCAGTGGGTGCCAGGGCTGGGGGTGCCCACAACAAGTGACGGGGCAGGATGGGACTGGGAAGGGTGGGGCACCTGGCAGCTCTCGCCCAGGGCAGGGACTACCCCTGGTGCTTGTCTGTCCCCCCTGCCAGCTGCCAGGGAGGTTCCCTTGGGAACTGGACCCCACACACAGCCTGAGGAGGGTGCCCTGCTGGGCCAGCTGCCCCGTGGGGCTGGCCCATGCCCAGGAAGCCACCCCAGCTCTGTGCCAGCCGCACGGCAGAGCCTCACCTCCCACCTGGGCCCCCCAAGCTGGCACCCACTGAGCAGGGTGGGGGGCAGTGAGGGATACTGCATGCCAGAAGCCACCGTGCTAGTGGAAGGGGTGCAGCATCCTCCCACGTGGCCCAGCCATGGGGTCCGTGGGGCAGTACCCATGGGGCTGGAGTGGAGGGCACAGGGCTGTTCCCGTGGGAGCGGGCTGCGGTGCTAATAAAGCTTCGCTAACGAGCTGGCACTGGGCCCAGGCCTGGGGCCGGCTGGAGAAAAGCCCCGTGCCCGTGGGCAGGGGGAGAGAGGGGTGCGGGGGG